AAGACATTGGATATATATATATATATATATATATATATATATATATATAATAGATCATTTAAAGGAGACATATTATGCCCCTTTTTACAATATGTAATATAAGTCTCTGGTGTCCCCCCCAGAATGTTTCTGTGAAGTTTCAGCAAAAAAAAAATATTTTTTTTACTAAATATTTTGATTTAGACATTGAACAAATATATTTACAGACAGAAACTACATCTGTGGTTACTGATTTGCATCCACTAAAAAACAACCTAGCAACATTTGTCAATTTAGCAAGCAAAAGCTATTTTTAAATGTTTGCAATGACATTGAAATTGCGTGCCCAAGAACAACTGTAATCCCTGTTTTCCCTATCTCATCCAGCTAAAATTAGGTGGGCCCCCTAGACAGATGGGCCCTTAGACCATTCATGAGACACGCCAGCTATTTAACTCCGAGTCTGAGAGTAAAGGCAGGCATTCTTCGACTAAACAATGAGAAATGCATCTGTAATGACTAGAGAGCAGGCAGAACAAAGAGCTGCCTTCAGGGTTACCAGCAGCCCGACACCCCTCCCACCCTTACGCTGTCAAACCACAGTATGCAAACCCGCTCATCTGGACCCAAAAGACGTGATTTGTGACCGTGTATCACCGTAAAGATGGCCAAAAGTCAGCATTGTAAGAGGACGCACCGTGAGGGCGGGTGCGCTTCATTCTGACGACGCGCCTCTCGCTCCAGCCCTGCGCCTCTGTTGCGCGCAATATCTCCAGCACAAAATCAACCCAAACGTGGCGATCGTTCAGCGTGATTTGACATCGTGATATCTAGGAATCAAGGAGATGACATTGATCGTCAACGTGAGTATAGCTATGTCTTTGCTTTTAGAATTGAATGGGAATTTGGCTAACACTGTGTGGAGGACGCTAACGGGACTGCCCGCTGGCAAATATTACATCACTGCTGCCGATTCAGATTTAACTGCGATTTTGTTGATTGTTAAGAATGAACTAACTCTACATTTATGCGTATTGTTATTTTAAAATGGTAACATACAGACGCTGTAGACGTGTGCGCATGCACCGTTACCTTCGCTCATATAACACGCCCGTTTTTACGCTCGCATGTTAACATTAAATATCTGCATAGTGGGTTTTAAGGTCTTAAAGGGGGTTTTAGAATAATTAAATCATCCAGAATGCATGGCCCAAAAGAGGCGCATTCGTGTAAAGAAACAAGCGGTCATGGACCGGCTGTATAACGTTAGGTTTTATTGTTTTGATGCTGATTTGGCATTATTTATGTTTCGACTTGCTTTCATTACGATGGCGCATTGCATGTAAAATAGAAAAGAACACACACGTGGTAAAATCACTAAACAGGCCCACAGATACAGGGAGGTCTGCTGTTATGTCGGATATGCCGCCGTGGTTCGCTGTGGGCGAGTGAGGCCTGTGTTTGCGCATCGATCACAACGAGTAAACACCAGTCACTTCATCACATGAAAACATCGGGCCTTATAGATGATCATATGAACGCTAAACATTATTGGAGAAAAATAACGACGAACTCCAAAATAAGCCGCATAAAGGCCTGTTAATGTACACGTATGTTTGTTTGAGTTGCTGACAGCGATTCTACAATGGCTTACTTATTAAAATACATTAAGCTTTTAATTTTAGAAGCTTTATTAGGTGTCATTACTATAAAGGTTATTATTGGAGATTTGTACAATCTATTTCTTTTTGTTTATTTTATATATGGTTAACTGACCTGTTGAAAAAACAGTATATGCTGGTTAGGTATGTTTTGACGCTGGGATGCTGGTTTAAACTGGTCCTTTGCTGGTTTATGCTGGCCATGTGCTGGTTTAAGCTGGCCCTTTGGCTTTTTTAAGTTGGTCCTTTGCATAAACCAGCATCCCAGCGTCAAAACATACCTAACCAGCATATGCTGGTTTTTTCAACAGCAGGTCCGAGGTTTATCTTTAATAATAATAAAAAATAAATAAATGCACCACCACTACGTTATCCTATTTGACCAAATCTACTTAAATTTTAGATAAATATTATAATATTTTTATTACCGGATGAGACAAATGTTGTAACACAGACGAAACAGAAGAAATGCTTCAGATGTGCCAGTGACTATCAGCATTGTCCGCTACTTTCCTCTATGAGTATTGTTAGAATGCACACTCCGATAAACAAACAGTGAGCTTGTAACATTTTGGATGCTCTTGACCGTGTGTAATTATGACCATAGCAGAATGTTACCCTCTGGACCCGTAGTGGTCATTTGATCATTTCGATGTAGAGAAATACCACTGAATATAACATTTATTTTGTGTTGAATAACTGACACGGGCTGAAATCTGTTTCTTTCCGTCTCTGAGAGAACTTTCTAGTCTGATTCCATTTAACAAAAGCAGCTTGTGTTCGAGAGATGATTGTGAGATGTTGTCTTTTCAATATGAAGCTTATTATTAATTGTGAGCGGTTAAAATTGACCACGGTAGTGCAATATAGTAAAACTGACTGTAGAAACGATATCATTTTTGTTTGTTTTTGAAATCATAGTTACATGTAATAATTGAAGGTGTGTTGGGTATTGTTGTCATTTGGTAATTGCAGAAGGGCTATGATTGTGTATGTAGCCTGTGGTTGGCTTTTTCATGTTTTTGCTGAACAGTAGCTTGATGTTTATTTTCATCCTGACAGACTTGTAAAAAAACAGAGTAAGAAAGGCGAGCATGAAAAATTCATTTTTTTGTTGTTGCCCACACTGGTTTATTACTTGTTATGTATAAGTAATACGTTTTGTATAAGTTCGATTTTATGTCTGTGTGTGTGTTTAGTGCCTTGGACATCATTGATTTTTTTTCACACTGGGAGGACACATTATGGAAACCAGTAAACCCTTTTTATCTCTAGAAGTCTATTCGGGGACAGTTTACTCATAATTTTCTGACTGTGACTTGTTTTTCTTTAGATTTCCAGGCTATTGTTGTCTTATTTCAATTTGCCAAAAGTATTCAAATTACAATATTTTTGTCAACACAGCCTGTAATTCAAATCACTTTCTTCAGCTTTATAGGCTATGTTCAGTCAGCCAGTCTCATCTTCTACTGTAAAAAGAAAGAGGGTCAATAATTTAGTATATAAATTTGCATAATAGCCTTTAGTCATCTAATATATGATACTAGAAAACCAATCTGAATTCTATTCCAAATGCACTTCTCAGTTGCTTAATAAATATCACAAGCAAAGCAAGCATCTGTTTGAATGCTTTTTACCCAAACCTCTCTGTGTTTGTGCATGTGTGAGAGGCAGGCCGTCTTGTTGCCTCTGTCTGCAGCTGTCCATCTGATCTTGTAGCTAAGCTGTCATGGCCTGTAGCTATGTAACACATGAAAGAGGGAGAGAGAGAGCATTTTCTGCCCCCTTAACTAGCCTCTCTGTCCCTTTTAATTTTATTTACTACATCAATAGATGAAGATGTTGTGATTTACAGTAGCTTGACTGGTGCTAATCATTTCAGCCAATAGTTGCCCTGGTCAGTCTAACGTTCTATCACTAGTTGGTCCCTTCAGTATGTCTCAGTAGTGTGTGACTGATCAGATGAAGTCAGGCTAAACTGACTCATGAATTACTGGAAATAGATGCTTCAGACTGTGTGAACTAATTTAAGGTCTTAGATACATTTCAGTGTTTCTCCAGCAATGTCATGTTGAAATTGGAGTCTCATCAGCATCCTGTGAGGAACAGTGTTTTCATCAGTGCAGTTTTTCGGGGACCTGGAGAAAATGGATCTTTTTCTTTGTGAATCTTCTTAAAGTCTTGATGGAACAGAAGTAGCGGCAGTTCTTTTCTTTCATATTTTGACGTACATCCGAGTAAAATGGATTATTAAAGAAAAAATGTAGAGTTGTACTTGGTTCTATGCATCGGTTGTTGATTGGATGGTGTCAGACTGGTTGAATGCGAGTTTTCTGTCTATAAGCAGACTAAATAAATTAAGAAGACCGCCTTACATTACCAATCAAAAGTATACAATTTTATTGGAAGATCGAGGTTGATAGGATAAAAAAAGAAACGTATTTGAATTAATCGTGCACAATAAAATAAATGACATGCATTTAGTAAATAGAGTGAATTTTCATTTCATGCCAAGTTTAAACTGTTTTTTTTTAAATTAGCTAATAGAGTACACTCTAAAAAATGCTGGGTTGTTTCAACCCAACTTTGGGTCAAATATGGACTAACCTAGCTGTTGGGTTAAATTTTTTAATTAAATTTTTAACCCAAAAGTTGGGTTAGTCCATATTTGACCCAAAGTTGGGTTGAAACAACCCAGCATTTTTTTTTTAGAGTGTAGCATTCCAAATATCCTTCTGAAAATAGTTTTGCAGACTGGATAACAACCAATTTGAAAAGAAAATATTTTAAAGTAATGTGGTTCAGAATATATTTTCTTAAACACACACAGACCGGCAGGAACGCATGAGTGTTACGTAATGGAGTTTAATCTGGCCAGACAGCCATGAAGGGTTCTCACTTGACAGGTGATGTTTGCAGAGGACCTCTTGCTGTTATATGGCTCCTATCTGTTAAGGTAAAATGCACAGAATTTCCATATTGTTTGCATAATCAATTATTGGCAATATATTAAATGTACTTACAAGAACAACCTCAGGAAAAATAATTTCATTACTTTATAGTTTGGCTTGGTTCATACTGGTTAGTTTGGTAGAACATGAAGTAAAGTAGATTTTTTTAGGCATAAAAACGTGCATGATCAACAAATGTAAAATATGGTGATAACACTGGCCCAATAGGCCCAAGACTTCTGTCAGCCTGCCAGTAACACTCTGTATTGGCCCTGGGCCGTTCTTATTGTTGATGCCTCAACCACATATAAAATAAATGCTAATAACCTAATTTTTAGGCAATTAGAAACTATAACTAGTTTTTAATGGCACTATTCTGGATTATCCCAATGATTTTGTCTTGACTATGACCTACAATGGGACAACTATCACCAACACTCTGACACACACACATACAGAGACTTTCAGATGATGTAATGTGCTCCACTACTTCACAGAGACGATTTTAGGTCATTGTCAGGCTTTGCACGTCCTATTACTTTTTGCTGTAGCTGTCTGCCCACTCCGAGCCCCAACAACAGGTCGCTGACCCACAGCCATTTCCTCCTTCAAGATAAAATAAGGTCAAAGTCCAACACTCACCCCTCCCTTCCTCTCTCTTGTGAAGTCGACACCATTGGTACACCAGGAAAAATATACTGAATATCACTTTGACCAAAATAAGAGCTGTGGCCTAGTGGTTAGCACATACGAGCCACAGTGCTTGTGCAGGTGACATGGAGTTCATCTTGCGTCATTTCCTGAAGTTCACTATCATTTCCGGTCCTATTTCTTGTCCACATAACTAAAGGTTGCAAAAATATAAAAAATAAGAACTGAATTAGAACCGAAAGTGAGATACTGTAGTTTTATGTAGAGTAGACCTCACCATCTCTGTTGAAATCTGTGGTTATCTCTAAATGATCACCTTAGTTTTACAGTAAAGGCCCCAATATACTTTTTTGTTTGTTCCTCGTTTAGGAGTGAAAAGAAGTTAGCTTTACTTTAAGAAGTTATGAAATACCATTGCAGCGGTATACTGTTAGCAAACATTCTGATGCCACCCACACCATTCATTCTCTTTTTCTTGTAGTTTTAGGTGTATGCTCTTGACAGTGCCTGTGTTTGGTCGATATAAAATATGAATAAAAATGATTAAAAAACATGCTTTCAAGATACTGGTTAATTAATCACTAGGCCAGTGAGTATATATATTAGTCAGCTCTAGTAATCTACTCTTAGTTTTCTTCATGGACTCCTGTAAGTTTAAGAATATTTGTGTTGGTTTATGTATTTGTATGGAAATGTATTTCCTTAATATTAAATAATATCAATTAAATCATGTATTTACCTGTGTACCAGTTTATTCAAAGCTTGTCTACATTCTGATTCCATTGTCATCTGTAAACTGAGCAGATTAAGGAGCATGTGAACTGGATTTACTTAATTATTCATTGTTGTTTTTTTTTGTGTGTCTGTTTTTGGTACTCCGGATTTGTCCCCATAGATCATGTTTTTGTTATGCAACAGTCTTTGGTGAAAATGATATGATTACCCAATGAGACACCTAACTAAAAAGCTCTTTCCTCTTATGAACACTGGATAACTTAATGTCTTACATGATACGTGAAGATAATTTAAAACTGAATCCTGTCTTCTGTCTTTTTTTCCAGATGTTGACCTTCCACCAGGAGATCCTCTTTAACCTTTTCTTTAATGTTCCTCACTTTCCAAAACCCCGGATTGGCATTGGACGTGTGAACTAAAGTCCTCAGAATACTACGTTCTGCAAATATCCAAATATTCTTCATCCTCACCCACACTAGGAGAAGATGGACAGTCCACCTAAACTAGCCGGGGAGACTCTTATTGTACACCACATTCCGCTGGTTCACTGCCAGGTTTCGAGCTCAAGACAGTGCTGTGGTAGTCCATTGAAAAGGAACAGTAACCCCTTTAGCTGCCCGGAGAATTTGGGATTGAGCCGGACCACCTCCCTACCTGAGAGAGACATTCTTCAGCGGGAAGCTTTGGTGTACAGCAGCCTCATACAAACGTCGAGCAGCAGCCTTAGCTCTAGTGACACTTTTGGGGATGGAGGGATGAGGGGAGGAGAGACACATGGAAGAGGAGGGAGAGAAGGAAGTATGGCAAGCGACACTTCCTCTTTCACCTCGAGCAATTCTGAAGATCAGGCTCAAGGCCTGCAGATGAAGTCATGTGAACGGCCAAACTCGAGGCGTAATCCCTTTCTGCTCAACACTGAAGATGAAGATGACGACGAGGATGAAGACAATCTGAATGGATATTTGGAAGACTCCTCCTTTCACCTGCATGGAAATTCGCATGACATCTCAAATGCAGCACTTGCAAATGAAGACTTGCCGCCGTTCCACCTGCATGACCTTGGGTTTACCGCTGAACCTTTTCTATTGCATGGGTCTACAGAAAAACAGTGGAGTTCCACTAATGGGCCTAGTGGGGAAGCAGAGAGCAGAGACCACACAATAGGTGGGACTTTCGTTTTATCTACTCACATGGAAGGTCTGAACTTGCTGAGATTAGATAGCCAGCGGTGCCACGGAAGCAGTGCTTCTACCCTTTCAATGGACTGTGGTGAGCAAGAATGGGGTGAGGATGATGATTATGAAGACCATTCTATGCAGTGCGGCAGAGGAAGCTCAGAGTGTTCCAGTCTCGCAGCACCACATTGCTCCTGTTGCGGCCTTTCTCAGCCATACCCTGAACCTTTTCACGAATCAGTTTCTGAGTGTCACCAGGGCTACGGCAGTGATTCCTCCTGCAATAGCTCCGATGGAGTGCTGGTTAACTTCAGCACGATTTACAACAAGATGAACAATGTTGTCCCGGCCAAACAGTCGCTCAATATCAACAGTTCCGCCGAGCAATCCTGTGCCTCTTCTGTGTCTGAGCTCGTTGGGATGTGTGGAACAGAATGTAGCAGTGGACGTGGCGCTTTCTACCTGGACTTAAACACCTCCCCGATCGAACCCCATCAGCATCCTTTGACCACTCAAGAACATGCAAATACTTCTTCTGTATCTCAGCCTCAAGGTGTCACTATGGAACTAGATGCCAACTGTAACTCGTACCACAACCTTCTCGGAAGCGAGGCGCTGACCTCTGCTGAAGCCTCTGCCAATGAGCTCACCTCGTGTCTTCAAAGCCAAGCTCGCTTGATTGTAGCAACGCAGAATTACTACAAGCTTGTGACGTGTGACCTTTCTTCCCAGTCCTCTCCCAGTCCAGCAGGATCATCGGTCACAAGCTGCTCAGATGAGCACAGCAAAGGAAGTCCCACTCAGCCAACAGAGTACTACCTATTCCAACAAATGATAGAAGATGAAGACGAGGAAGATGCAGAGGTGCTATATTATTTGCTTCATGTGGTGTTAGCTTGTATTTAGCATTTTGTACCATCACTCATTCTCAGAGCTGGGCAGATTACTTACAAATTGTAGTCCATTACTGATTCCAAATTACATGACACAAATTGTACTTAGTAACGTAATCCATTACATTACTCATTCTAATCCAGATTACATGTAATCAGTTACTACCCAGCTCTCATTCTATACTTCTGCATCCTTTACATTCTTTTCTTTTTCTTTTGCCAGAATGAAGAAAAGGATCCAAGTGAGATTGACTCTACCCGTGAGAATGTAATTGAGGGACAGGTGTATATCAACATCTCCCCACCTACGACAGCCTGCAATTCAGTTGGTGCTTGTGGGAGCGGTCGGCCTCGTTCTCGTAGCTACGATCGGAACTTGGACAAGTCTCCATCTCCTCGCCTTGGATCCTTGGAGCGCATGCTCAGCTGCCCTGTTCGGCTCAGTGAGAGTGCAGCCCCGAGCCCGCCACCTCCACCACGTGTCACTTCTTTTGCGGAAATTGCAAGAAATAAGAGGAGAACTGGAGGGTCACCATCGCAGAAGGGTGGGATGGAGGCCACGTCCATGCACTCTCACTCATCTGGAGAGTTCTCGCCCATCCTGGAAGACCTTCCACAGGGTCAAAGCCACAGTTTGCCACCGCTCACTCGATGCCATAGTCAAGGAAGCTGTGATTTGTCCTCCCCGCATAGACCGCGGAGTACACCACTGCGAGAATCACCGGGGGGAGCGGGAAAACAGACTCGAACTAAAGCAGAAGGTAAGGGGAAGTTTTTTTCCAAAATCTTCTAAAAAAAATAAAATAAAAAAAAGGATAGTTGAACTGTGTTATTTGTAAAAGCTGGTTTATTTTGTGGATTGTCTTATTTTGTGTTTGAATAATGGTATTGTGCAGCCTGGCACCCAGAAGCCTGGTTGGATTTTGGAACTCTTCTTGACTATATATTGGATGGGTAGTGAGCGTACTAATAAGCACAAATTACTCTAGACAAACATTTGTGTGTCTTTGTTTATTGCTGAAGTGTATTGAAATTTCTTCTTCTGCATTCTACTGTACGGACGTAAATTTACTTTCCCTTCAGCCTGAGGCTTATTCATTTCACTTTTGGTGTGAAAAGGCTTTTATATTTGCCAAAAATATAACTTTTTTTATTTGAAAAACAAACAAGCAAGCCCTGTCCAGATTTAAAAAGTACCGCAAAAGTAACGTAACGCATTACTTTCCATAAAAAGTAACAAAGTAATGTAAATTAGTTACTTTTTTATGGAGTAACGCAATATTAATGCATTACTTTTAAAAGTAACTTTCCCCAACACTGGTAGTGACTATTAAATATTCTCTGTGATTGCCCTTAAAGGGACAGTTCACCCAAAAATCTAAATTCTGTCGTTAATTACTCACCCTCATGTCGTTCTAAACCCGTAAGACACAAATGAAGATATTTTTGATGAATTCTGAGAGCTCTCTGACCCTCCCATAGACAGTTGTTTTTTTCGTTCAAATCAAAGCGTAAACAATGTAGAAAACGCATCCGTGTGACGCAGCTGACACAGAACAGCATACGCGGTTTACGTTTAGTGGATACTCTCCAAAATGGCAGAATTTTCATTTTTGGGTGATCTATCCCTTTAACATGATTTGTTGGTTTTATAGTACAGTGTGGTTGCTAGAGTGTTGCTAGTATGTTCTGGGTTGTTCCTTATTTTGGCCAAAAGAAAAAAATACTGTATGCTTTTGGACCCAAAAATAAATTCAATCATCCTTTACTCACCCATGTCATTTCATATCCCTATGACATTCTTCCATGGATGAAAAAAAAAAAAAGTCCTTTCATGTTCTGTGGAGGAATAAATGTTATGTGGTTTTGAAACAACATGATGGGTAAATTTATTTATGTATATGGCTTTTTATAGTCTGCCATAGTGTTGGGCGGTTTGACCAAAAATCCATATCAGTTTTTTTTTTAAGGATTCTGACGGTTTCACGATTTATCACATTTTTTTGCCCGGACTGTTCCTTTATGTGAATCAGAATGCAGGAAACAGTTGCACAACAGTTGCATTTTAATCACGATCCAAACAAAGATGCTACATGTAGCTTGATCAGTTTTTGATGTAAATTAGATTGTATCATTTCAAGCAAAAACAGACCGATCTGACTGAATGTTGTGAAATTACGCTACATAAATCATCTGCATGAAACGGCAAATGGGCCGAATGAGAGCTCAGATTCACTCTCTTACAGCAGGTGGCGCTTATGGAACAGCAGGATACAGCGTTTCCTTAGTTACCGCTGTAAACAAAACAGCTGCACTTTTAAATACTACATTAATATGCTTTATATGGAAAGAAAATAGCAACTTTTCTGAGAACAGTCAGTTGGTTCCCCTCAGAGATATTTAGGATTTTCTTCCGATATTTCACGCATGGTAAAGTGAGTTTGTTCTGCCTGCTATAGTATTTTCTCCTCTTTTTTCATCTTTTGGCATCTTTCTCTGGCATCTGTTTAACGGCCGTTTACAGTTGGTTTATTTGCCCAGTTAAAGTTGTTTGTTATTAATAGTTCTAAAAGTTCTCCAACCATTAGTCGGAACTAAGTGTACAATTTTTTAAAAAATTTGTACCGTGTGCATAATTCAAACCGCATTACCGTATGAACCGATATATCGCCCAGCACTTGCACTCTGCCAGGTAATCTCAGATCTTATGAGATTAGCAATAACACATCTTCTTCCAGCTGCATTATGTGAGGTGTCATTCATGTCTGTAGCACAAGCAGTGCAAGAGTTGCATGATGAAGGTTTGCCAAAGCAAAATAAATAGGCAGAGTTTGATTAACAGACAGGTTAAGTAGTGTTACTGGACTGCATGTTAGTTCTCTCTGTGCTATGCTGCCCCTGCTGACTGTGACTGGGTTCTACAGCGTACAAAAGCCCTGACATTTGAGTACTCAGGCATGTGGAGCAAACAGCTTGCGCAATAGCCCAGTGACGTTTCACACACACTGTGTGCACACGCAACACACACCTAGTGTACACAGAGGAGCTTCATAAGCAGGCTGTTTTGGCCATAATATCTTGGTTGTTTATGTACCTCTTTTGGTCATTAATTTTTTGGAGCAGTGTTTTAAGGTATGTGTTTGAGAAAAGTTTTTGTTTTTTGTTTTATGTATGGTTTTGTTTCACTTTCATAATAAGAGCCTGTTGTTGCTGTTGCTCTTGCTGGGTTTTATTCTAGCTGTTTTATTCCAGCTGTGTCTTTGTCATAGGCTTTCTGGTTTAAATTTACATCAAATAACTTGCTTCATGTGATAATTATATGTATTCATTTATAATGATTTATGCAGCTTTAGATATGGTTAATGCCTGCATTACTACATTAAATGATACTCTGCCACAGACTCATAATTTTGTTCTTAATCTTCATCTGTCTTATTTTCTCTGCAGCCCTCCTTGCTCATCTCTGTCTCTTTTCTTTCTCCCCCTAGGTGGCCTGTCTAGCTCCACAGACTCCTCTCCAGTTGTAATTCGTTATAACAAAGATCAACGTCCGACCTCGTTACCCATTCAGCCTTTCACTTTCCAGCACCAGTTTGGAAAACCACAGGCGAAGCCTCTCCTTCCTCTTCTGGACGGATACATCAGCCATATGCAGACTCGAGGGGCTGCGGCGCCTGAGGGAGGTGAAGATGACTCCGAAGAAGATCGTAGGCCACCACACGGCAAATCCAACTCACCTACAACAGTGCGGCCATCCCCACTGGGCAGCTACTCCCCAGTTCGCCTCCAAGGTGCACCCACCTCTTCTGGAACCTGCTCCACATGCACTCCGACCCCGGGTGGTCCAAAGCCGCCACGTTCCCTCTCTTGCCCCATCTCTGCAGGTCTTGTGCCCCAGCATACCCCACCCGGAATGACCATACGTACAGAGACCCCTAAACTCACTCCCTTACCTCCTACACCGCCTCCACCTCCTCTGATGAAGCAGAGTCCGCTGATGCCTGCGTTGCCCACTAGAAATCACTGTTTCCACCGTGGCAATTTGCCGACCCTTCCCAGCTCTGGGCTCAGTCCTCTAGCTTCACAGGAAGAGCCAGTGAAGGTTTTACCAGCATGTGTGACACAGCGACAGCCTAATGGTAGGTTTGGAGCAAAAACGAGTAAATTCAAACATAGACACAAAATAATGATCTTTAAAAAAGCATCTTATGACCCCTTTAATTATCTTTTTTTTCTGCTTTCAAAGAAAAAAAAAAACACTAATGGTTTTGCCTTGAGTTTGTAAAAATTATAATTTTTTTCTTCTGATTTGAGTTGGATTGAATCGTATTAGAGGTGTAACGATGCACGTATTCGTACAGAAAATAGTCTTTCGGTTCAGTATGCATGTGTACCGAACAAATCATTCAGTAATGCCGTTTTGGTGTTCTTTGATGTGGCATGACAGATCGCTGTATAAATGCCTCAGTTAAAACGGCAGCGCAGGGCGCGAGTCAGCGTGATCATCCCTTCCTCATTGCTTCTAGTTTTAACGCAAAATAAACATGAATGAACATCTCATACAATCACTCAATCAGTGTTTCAATCACGGAAAAGACGTGATTAAAACAACTTGTAAACAAAATGTCACGTAGCATTTCATTTACCCCAGGCAAGTCATCAGTGTCCACAGCTTGTTACTTGCCGAGAGAAATGAAGTCTAGAGAATAGCATATCTCGAAATATTAGACTATACTCATTATATTTTCAATTATATATTGTATAATTTAGAAGTTAATTTAAAAACTGCGTCGTGGGCAATTTACATGCTTGCATACAAAAAAATTTTCAGTGTTGATTATTATAGTCAAAAATAAATCGTAATTGAACTTTGAAGTTTGGGCTCTGTTGTTAATTGCAACCTTACAGAAATGTAAAAGGGCTCCCTAGTTTAGAGCAGAAGCTGAGGTAATTTTTTTTTTCTTTCTGTGTAGTTATGCTAACAATGGCACACCATGTGTTCATTTTTGAGTTTAAGTTAAGTTCTTAAGTTAACCTCACTCCTGGTAGAGGTGAAATTTCCTAGTTTTATATTTGGATTTACATTTATTCATTTATCAGACACTTTATTGAAAGTGACTTACAAACGAGTTTGAGTCATTAAATATTATCACGTAACTTTTGGCCATCTAGCAGTTAAAAAATAAAACTGCAAGCAGCTTGCCAGAAAAGCATTGTTTTGGTTGTGCCTCGGCTTTGCTCCTCTGTGTGAATGTGGTTCAAGGCACATGTGTACTTACGAATACAGGATGTCTTATGAGAGTGGATGGACAAATAAATAACATTTCTTCTTTGTCTTTACAACTGGTGATTCTCCAGAGGTTTGCTGTTTTGAATGATCATTGGTACATTTTTCTTGTTCATTGTGAGTAACATAGTGTAGCTTTAAGTGGCTTATGTTTTATCAGTGCTTTCATACCTTTTAGGCAACATTATTGTTCTTCACACCACATATTACTAAATTAATCTTGCACAGGAAGGTGATACCACATAGTGACATAGTAATAGTTTAGATAAGGACAAGATTGAAATGCTGAATTAGAAAGTAAAAGGAATAGAGAAAATATGCATTTTACCACACAAATATTCCAAACCCAAATGACTTTTTTCTGTGGAACATAAAATGACAATATTGCTGAATGCTTGCGGTACACTTGCTCATACAGCAAGCATAAGACAAATTGGCATCATTATGCTAGATTAACGTGCTATATTCCACGTCTTCTGATGCCAAAGAATAGTTTAGGACATATAAAATATTTTTTATGGCAGCACATTTATTTTGCTTTTTTGGCCTTTGGAGGCCAGTTCCTGGTTCCTGCTTTTGTTGTATGGGCAAGAGCAGTGTAAACACTGCTTTTCTTAAAAACTTTTTTTTTGTCTTCCACAGAAGAAATAAAGTCATACAGGTTTAGAACAACACGAGAGGTAAATAAATGATAACAGAATTAAAATTTTCTAGGTCAACTATTATTTTAAGCAATTCCTTTTGCCTCTCTACCTTGTTTTGCAGTTTAAACAATGTCCAGATTGACCAATAATCTCCATATAGTCATATATACAGCAATATAATAACCTCAGCAAGCTCATCTTTAAATCTTGATGAGGTCAATATGAACCTTATCGTTGCGGTGAGCCCTTTAGCTCTTAAATGAATTATAGTTTCATTGCACCGCATACACACAGCATATAAATCTGCAGTGAATGTTACATACGCCCTAGTGACTAGAAATCTATGTCTCTTGATGTTGTTTCCACTAGGTCCTCATGGCAATCAAACAAGGCCCCTTTTGCTTTTCCACTCATCTCACATATTGACAATTCCCATCAGACCCTCTAAACTGCATTAGCACAAGACAGAGCGTGTGTTTGTGTACTATTAGTTGGAATTTAATTTAGATGCATTGAATAATATAATATTTTCTATTCTGTCTCCTCTGTATGTCCTTATATACTAGGTTTGGTGAAGGCCATAAACACAGCAGTGGATCTGATAGTGGCTCATTTTGGCACCAGTCGGGATGCAGGAGTAAAGGTACAACATTACATTTGAAATAAATAACAGTTTTAAAATCAGTGTACTTGAGTTTGAGTGTCTCACTAAAGGGAGTAAATACGTTGACTGTACCTTCTGGTTCACTTTCGCTCTCCTCTACAGGCCAAATTGGGCAATAGCTCTGTAAGTCCGAACGTGGGTCACCTTATTCTAAAGTACCTCTGTCCTGCCATTCGTGAGATACTGCATGATGGCCTGAAAGCGTATGTACTGGACCTGATCATCGGACAACGCAAAAACCAGCCCTGGAGTGTGGTGGAGGCCTCCACACAACTCGGTATGAGAGGAATGATGTAGGTGATTATTGTATGGATGAGAATGAAGGAAATGATTTACGCTTATCCTTTCTGTCCTAGGTCCCTCTACACGGGTTTTGCACAGTCTGTTTTCTAAAGTCAGTCAGTATTGTGAGCTGACCAATCACAGTATGAGACTCAATGCCTTCATCTTCGGCCTGCTAAAGTAAGCTTCTTTTATTTTGATCTCTTTTCATCTCCCTTTTACTCTTTCTAATCACGCTCAACTTCATACGGCACATTTTTGTCCCTTTCATAATTTATTGCTTGTTAAAGCATCAGAATGTATTGCTTAATTTGCATTCCTTATTGTGCGATTCATTGGATTCCTGTCAAGGTTTTCTCATTGAATATAACTTTTCAATTGGAAATGCCTCACCTTATGCAAGCAGGGTCTGGACTATTTTTGGCTTTTTTAAATGTATGTATGAACATTTTCAGATTCTATCTTGAGTTGATTTATGGAACGGAAGGTGCTTCTTAATCTTCTAGGAGTTTCTGACATGAAAACAGATTATATATATTGACCATCAAATGCATTGCAGTACTGCGGTGTCTTAGTTCGATAATAGTGTTGAAGAGAAGAAGCTTTCTCAGTACATTCAGTATCGGATCATGAATTTACCAATGTACTATATGTAGTTCATTTTTGTTATAAATCAGATTGCTCCTTCGTAGATTTGGCAAACACAACAATGCAAAGACAAATCCTAATATTTGGTGAAAAAACTTGAATTAGAACTATGTTTTTAGCAATGCTGTATTTAATAAAATATAGAATATACATGCTTTTTTTAAAATGCAGTGCATTTTGGGAATGCATCATACATGCAGACAGTATTGCTTTAGATTTTAATATAATACTTTTAATACATACTGCCATTTTCTACCTTTGTGATGGTGCCATAAAATGGTGTCTTGGTAGGCAGCTCACTAGGATTTGGAACAGATCGATGGCGTATGATTTTTATTAGCACTATATCAAGCCAGGTCTACAAAAAACCCTAAAATCTTGCTGTCTAAAACTCAGCAGTGTGTTTGGAGAGAGGATTTGGAACAGATCGATGGCGTATGATTTTTATTAGCACTATATCAAGCCAGGTCTACAAAAAAACCCTAAAATCTTGCTGTCTAAAACTCAGCAGTGTGTTTGGAGAGGTCTTTAGAAGTCATCAAAGGCTCCAGTTTTGCTTTGATGGGCATGATGTACACATCTCAGCTTCTGGGCAAACTTCCTCTTTTCCACTCCTATTAAAATTACAGTCAGAGAGACAGCGCTTTGATCATTAGTTTCAATTATGCATTCTGCAGCATTCTGAGCTCTCTCTGTCTGTCTCACTCTGTGCTGTGGTCACTTCTCTTCTTAAGATCAATACAAAGTACAGTAATCCCTCTTGAGGCACCTTGTTGTTGCACTTGTAGTATTTCACTTTAAAACAGATTTCCAGGGGTCCAGGGGTATTCAACAGGGGGTCCCCAACACCTAGGAGGTCTGCAGCAGTACTGCAGGGACAGGAGTAAATGTTGCTGTTATTCACAGGAATAAATTATATTTCAAAATATATAAAAATAGAAGACACTTATTTTTAATTGAAATTATATTTCAGTTTTTACTGTATGTGGGGGGGGGGCTTGGTGATATATATTATATATATATATATATAAAATTGAAGACCCCTGCCTCTGGTATAAGTGAATGATTTCTGTTATTATGCAGTTATGTTACAGATTTGCATTTTACCTTTGTAGTTTTGGGTCCAAGATTTTACAGCCCTCACTCACCTTCACTGTTTTTCAGCTTGCGATCTCTGGAATTCTGGTTCAATCACATTTACACACATGAAGGTAGGACAATACTTTCTTCACTTACATTTATGCTGCAACATCTATGTTCAGTATCTTGTTTAAGAGTAGTTGGCTGTAATCAGAGGAATGGTGATGCCAAGATTTTTAGGTTTCACATACTCTATTGCCAGCATAATTCTAATAATTAGCATTTTTTTGTAGCCATCTGTCTTTTTTTTCTTGTGGCATGGTTCCTCAGACATCATAGCAGCACACTACCACCCATGGGGTTTCCTACCCCTGTCTCAAGGGGCCTGCCAGCCACTGTTTGAAGAGTTGCTGCTCCTTCTTCAGCCGCTCTCACTGTTGCCCTTTGACCTTGACCTGCTATTTGAGCCACACCAACAACAGAAAGGGGAAGAACACCTGAGACGCAAAGAACAGCTGTGCTCTGCTCGCCAAGGCTTTGACCAATCAGATTGCTCCACCTTCCAGCTCATGCGAGGCTGTGGAACGTTGGAGTCTGGAGTGCAGGAAGTGGGAATGCTGCCTCAGAGAGAAAGCTTCATCTTGAGAGATGAGGACAGCCGGCTTAGGTTAGAGGGAGTGACATTAAAAACGAAACGAGATGGGCGGAAAAGTGCGGGAGTAGAGCGTGAATCACGAGATAAGGAGGCTGGAGTTGGCAAAGAGTGTTTGAGAAAGAGTGATGGAGGACAAATAGAAGGCAGCGTGTGGTGTGGTGGGAGGATAAAGGGAGTTGGAGAAGACTGTGAGAAGGAGAAAAGGAAAGGAAGAGATGGAGATGGAGCCAAACAGAGAAACAGACAAGCTGGCTGGTGGTACCAGCTGATGCAAAGTTCACAGGTTTACATTGACAACTCCGCTGAGGGATCAAAATTTGTGAAGTGGGAGAAGAGGAGGAAAGGTGGTGTTGAGAACCACCGGCAAAGCCATCCACCTCCAAGAGAAGGTGTGGTTGAGGGGGCCGAGGCCATTCAGCAGATGGATGAACAGGTGGAACATGGTCAGACCAGAAGTAGCAATATTAATAGTGTTGGCAATGGAGTCCTCCACCAGTCAGCATTGTCAGAACTCAACAAGGTCGCTAAGGGGAAGCCATCGTGGATGGGAAGTCCACCGGAATCAGTGCTCACTGAGCTGAAGAAGAGTAAGGAGAAGCAGCCAGACTGCCAGGACGCCTATGAAGGGGTTCAGGCCCAGCCAGAAGCAGGGGAGGATGGGTCGGCACAGGTGCTTCGCTGGGGTCGGCTGTTTGGAGCTGGAAACACAAGCAAGATGGAGAAGAGTGAGCCGAAACAAGTCAGAAAACAAAGGTGAGTTGGTGTGCATAAATATATTTAACACAGGGGCATTTACTCCGAGGAGGCAAGGGAGGCAGTGTCTCCTCAAAATACTGGATGAGAAAAAATTTGTAGTACAAAAATAAAACAATGCAAATATTACAAAATATAACGTTAAAAAGTGTATAAATCACTCGTTTTTATAAAGAAACATGGTCCAACGACCAACGGTGACACCAGCAGGTAATGTTACAGCAGGAGTCTGCGTCTCTCTTGCCTCCTCTGAGCCCATTGAGTTTTCACAAAACCCCTAAAGCGTGCGGTGAGTTTAGTGGGGGGTAATTGAGAATGAATGGGGGAAAGTGACGTGAGATATGATTGGATATGACTGGTTATGATCAGCTGTGATTGGTTCTTCTTGCAGTAAATCCCATCTCTTGTGTTCATGCGCGTTCCCCGTTCGCGAATCAGTCTGAATGAGCAATATAATGGTGTTAATAGGAAGACTAATAAAAAAAAAAGTAAACAACTCGCACACTTAGATAAATCCACTTTTTATGTCAAAATCATAGACTGTAAAAAAAACATGGACGTAGTGTCCGTGACGTCACCCGTAGGTTTCTGAAGAGCATTTTTGAAGCCTAAAGTGGGCGGAGCCGGCCGTTGCCATCTTGGCAGCGCGCTACCGCGCATCACTCTCGGATAATTGAAAATGGGCAAAGAGGCGGGATGTGGGTGGAGCTGGTTGCTGAAACCACACCCACCTAGCGCGACGGTGTTGACAGCAGCGGCAATCCACCTGTCACTCAAGTGGCCACGCCCTTAATTATGCAGAACTTTAAGGCTTAATATAATTTAAACGGATGTGTTATAAAAAAAATTCACCCATCTCACAGTTGAAAAAACCACTTTTTGTACCAGGCTGTAAACATATTTTTTTCTGCTGTAAAGTTGGGCATTTTAACATGGAGGGTCTATGGGATTGACTCCCTTTTGGAGCCAGCCTCTAGCGGCCAGTCGATGAATTACAGTTTAAGTCACTTCCGTGTTGGTTTCAAGAGAGAGACCGGAAGGTTGCCACTTGGTCAAAATAAGACTTGAAATGGCATGAAAACATGATCTGTGGGAGTATTTAGTGAGTAAATCTGCTTAAATCTCCGTGTCTCTGACCATTATTTACCGAGCTTTGATGACTGATGATCTGAAAAATTCAAAAATAGTTAAAAGTTAACTATTAAAAAAGAATCGCTGAACATAAGTTCACAAATAAAATATATTGTTTAAAAATATTGTAACTGCCTTGAGTTTATTATTTTGGAATAAATGTAAAATGCTTAAAAACACTAACTTAATGGTATTCATATTTTGCTTATAGAATATTGATTACATTGTTAATGTAAAAATATAAAATAGAATCGTTTTTTAAAATCTTTTTCTGATAGTGTAAGTGATGTTTATTTAACCAAGAAAATGTGACTAGGGCATGGATTTACATTTACAACACTGATTATTATAAGTGAATGCTTCAGTTATGTTGTTTACGAATTTGAATGCTCAAGCTTTTTAAGGTAAGATGGGAGGTAAGATCCGATTGGCTGTCAGTATTTTTATCTATCAGCTGGAGAACATCATTCTGAATGTGATTTCAGTGATATTTTTCCTCTGTCATTGTGGTGTGAATTTCTGTATTCTCTTATAGCTAAAACAATTATCAAATCATTATAGCTATCGATCTTGGTGTAAACGGGCATATACATATCACAGATATTGCTATATATGAAGTTGGTCCATAATTTAATTTTTTTTTTCAAACTTCAATTGCTTTGTTTTCAGAATGCGTTGGTTCTACACAATTCCAGACACTAGCAGCATCTTTTACAGTGGAATTTTTTGTATAAACTTTCTATAAACTCATTTTCTACCTACATGTTTGTCTCAGATTGCCGTCTGGTTGGTTGAGTCTCGACCGTTCTGTGCTGGATCTGGTGGCTCAGTCGGTTGGAGTGGGGAAAAGAGCGGCGCAACAATCTCTTACGTCTCAAAGCCAAGAATCCCACCTTGGCCCAACTGAACAAGCACAAACACAGAATCCACCGACACGGAGACAAGCCCCACGGTAATGTTGTTAGACAAGTCATAATGACTAGTTTTGCATTTCCAGAAGACAACCGGTGCTTGCAAGGCAACTACAGAAGAGTTTAAGTAAGCTTAGGTTTGTCAAAATAGAATTTGGTTCCCCAACATTGTCATTTTTAATCATCTATACACGGATTGTATGTGTCGTCTGTACATCAGCACTTATTCTGTATTCTGTGCTGTCTTTGTAATGTAAAGGTGGTTATAGTTGATTAAATGGATCAAGATAAATAAAGATTAAATATAAAGGCCAAGCACAATTCAGTATGCAAAATTTAAAATCTTTCATTTCTTGTATAATACAAACAAAAGCCAAAAAATACACTGTACAACATGTGAAAAACAAGATTGAAATGATCAAAGTTTGAATGTTGTTTTTAGCTTAGAATTTGGTGGAAAAAAATAGAATGTTTAATGATGTTTGAATAGTAAGTGCTGCTTCACAAAGTACTGTAATTGGCTTATTTAATGTAATTATAATATATATAATAATGTAAGCATATTTAATGTAATTATTTGTCAGTGAAAAGACAGTGCAGCCATGCCTGATTAATTCACCTGATCAATTCTTTCTTTCTTTTTATGTCTCTTTCAGTAAAGTGAAGGCGTTATGCCATCATATCGCCACAGAGCCAGGGCAGCTCAGTTTCCACAAAGGTGACGTGCTGCAGGTGCTCAGCAGGGCAGACTCTGATTGGCTGCTGTGTGCTCTGGGTGACAGCCAGGGACTTGTTCCCATCATATACGTCACCCTGATCGAGGACAGTCAGGAGCGCTGAAACTCAGGGTGTGAGATGCGGTCGGGGACAAAGAGGAGGGTCACTGCTTTTCTGAATATAAAATCTGCTGCTCAACGGAGTCTGACGGATTCATTATGTGCTTGCATGTGTATGTAAACACCAATACACCAATGCACACACACACACACACAAACATCACACTTTGCTGTTGTGAAAGCTCCCTCTTTGTTTCAGTGAATAGCATTGAGCCAACCAGTGATTAGAAAGTGTAGATCTAGTTACTGAGTAGTAGTGCAATTGTTTGCAACGAGCCATCAGGTTTTGCAACTTAGCTTGTAATCATAAATGTCAATAGAACCTTTTAAAAAGAACGAAAAAACCAAATGAAGTTGTTAGATGACACTACTGGCACATATGCCTTGTCTTTACTAAATACTGTATGATTTTATGTAATCTAGATGTTAATCAATTCATGTGTTGTGACCGAGAGTGTGTGCACGTGCCCTTCAGAGGCCGTGTGTAAACCGGATGCCATTCGTGAACATCTCTTTCCGTGCAAATAACTGTATGAAGCTGAATAGTACATCACTGAAAAGGGATGCCTCGGTTTTAAAGTTTACGGAAATTAAAGCTCATTAACATGTTGAAAAAGACAAAATATTTTCCCCCCCTTACAGGCCAAAGGAAATCAACCTGTCCAGATATATATTTTTTTCCTCCAACCTGTGCTGCTTTGACAGATAAATCGATCCGCTGATGCTATCCCCACAATTTCTGTTCGTTCATTTCAAGCTTTTTTCACTAATAAGGGAGAGTTTACAGCAAGATTGCCTGCATGTGACTGAGTGCATCACAAATGTTTTGCTTTTCTGATACTTAACGAGTTGCTCAATCTTTAACCTTAATTGTTCTGTTCCTTCCTATATTAACTTTTGCACAATCTGCAAGAGATATAGAAAGAGAAGATGTGTCTAATGTTTGTCTACTTTAGATTTTTGGTTGTTTTGATTTGGTTTCTGTTTGTCCGATATGTGACCCTGGACCACAAAACCTGTCTTAAGTGTCAATTTTCGAAATTGAGATTTATACATCAACCGAAAGCTGACTAAATAAGCTTTCCATTGATGTATAGTTTGTTAGGATGGCAATATTTGGCCGAGATACAACTCTGGAATCTGAGGGTGCAAAAAAATCTAAATATTGAGAAAATCGCCTTTAAAGTTGTCCAAATGAAGTTCTTAGCAATGCATATTACTAATCAAAACTGAAGTTTTGATATATTTACGGTAGGAAATTTACAAAATATCTTCATGGAACATGATCTTTACTTAATATCCTAATGATTTTTGGCATAAAAGAAAAATCGATAATTTTGACCCATACAATGTATTTGTTGGCTATTGCTACAAATATACCCCAGCGACTTAACACTGCTTTTGTGCTCCAGGGTCACATATTTATTAAGATCGATCAGTCTGTAGATGAACAGACAGATGTATAGATAGAATGGAATGGATTTATAGAGTTTTATGTAAGTAGTTGAATAGATGGCGAGCAAAAAAGAGATTATCTTGGGGTTTGGTGGCAAATCCCTTCCCCTTTCAATATATTCAATTCATGAGATTATTTCCTCCAGTTAACAACATGAACACTTAGATCTCTTAAATGTCATCCACAAACACTTTCCTCTGTTTTTGCAGTAGAGGACAAATAAAAAAAGACATTTAGAGGATGGTGAAATACTACATGGCCCTTTGATGTGCTCAATTTAATTCAAAGGTGAGGCCTTATTGAAGGGAATGTGTATTATGTATTCTATTATAGCATTAAATTGTTATTTCAGGACTTGAGTATGATCAGCAATTTTATTTTAAAAAATGATGTTATGACACTTGATATGCTTTTCCTTAAAGTAATATATATATAATCATATTTTGATTTGATTTTTTCAAATTGCTTTATTGAGACATCAGTAGATGATTGTCAAAGTATGTTTTTGTTAAAACAGTTTTATGATTATTATTTTCTATTTATAAAATGCATTAGTTATTATTTTGTGTATTTGTAATTGTAAATATGTTGCATTCTCATGTTCTCAAAAGGAAACTGGCATTATTGACTTGGTTATTAACAGTTAATAACGAAAACCATTCAAATGTACATTATACTGTTATGGGATGTTATGAGTAGAAGAAAATGCTCTCACAAAAAGCTGCGCAATCTAGATTGTACTGTAGTGCTGCTGCTTTAGGTCAATCCTGGTCACTTAAGGTTTGTCTGTTGGTCTTCCAAATACGCTTTGCTTTCGACTAGAACCACCCGGTAAATATCAGCAAGAGAGAGAGAGAGAGAGATTGCGAGAGAAATAGCTGTCCAGTGCCTTTTTGAACCAATGCGTCTGCTAGTGGGATTTAAGAGTGGTTCCTCACAAGTGGTTGGTGCCATTCCAGTTGCTTTTTCCTTCTGTATGAAGCAGGAATAAAAATACTGGTAAAACTGGAATCAGATTATTAGAGGATAGACTCCAGTGAAAGAGACGTTTTAGTTGGGAGGGTTATGTATGTTTGTGCAATGTTCTCTCTCTCTCTGTCTTCGATCCTCCCAATATTTCTGGCCTGTATATACTGTACGATACCTGTAGCTCACCTGGCTCTCCTTTCCCCATGTGACCGTGTTGTGCTCCTATAACATTACCATCATGTATGGATATCAATAACAAAGTGCTCATGTGAACACTGATGCAGTGCCTCTTGTCCTTTTTTCTAATTTATGTGTTTATGATATGTGCGGAGTTATCTTTTGATGATTATCATGCTTGCTCAATTGTTTTAATGATTGTTTGCCTTATTCAAAATCCAGGTGCCACTTACGTTACACTGGTAGTTGACTGATATGTTCACTGTTAGTTCATAAATTGTTTTGAAGCAAATTATCAAATTTGGCTTTTTTTCCAATTACACATGGATAGGCGCTTCAGGCTACACAGAACCTTGGTTAAAACTTCAAAGAAAAACAAGTAGATAGAATAGAAAAAATAGAAAGCTAGTGTTTGTTAGTTTTTTTGTTGTTTTTTTTTTTAAATAAAAAATAAAACAAAAAAGAAGATAAATATAGGTAAAGTAGAATTAAAATAGAATAGAAAGTGCTAGAGTTAGAGGGCCAGATAAAGGTTAAAAACTTAAAATAGACCAGGATTATGGTTGTGTTAACAATCAAATTTACTAGGAGAAATAATTTTATATTTTTAATATTTTTTACATTTACCAGGAAATATATATATTTTAGATTAATGACTTAAACATGGGTACTCGCCCTGTGTTTTAGTGGCCCATGTAAAATTAAGAAACGCATTTTCAGGAAGACGGTCATGCGGTGACGACACACGCAGGAACATGGACGAGCAGCAAAACAAACTCAGAGAACCGTGAGGTATTGAGAATAAAACACACACACACACACACACATGCATGTTCGTCTGTGTGTAGATGTGCTGCTGTTCTGTAAGTAGCAGGCCAAGTAATCGCGCTGATGTGTTGACAAATAACGGTATCGCCTCGTGGAGAAGTTTGCAGTTAATTTACTCAAGTTTTTTTGTGATATACATTTTTAAGATCATGCAAGTTTTGTCGGGTTGAGAATGAAATCCTCCCATTTTGTTGTTTATATTGACCTGCAAAGCCTCGAGACGCGAAATTATGAATCCTACTATGGCCAAGGCTTAAACTGGTGAATATTAAGTAGCTTACGTGACGACGTAGTAACATTTTAATTAATATTCATAAACTCAAGCCTTTGTCGTAGTAAGAAAGTTGAGGAAAGCTACGAAGCAAACGCAGCATGGCCTAATTAACATTGATAAACCTAAGCCTCAGTGGGAAGGCTGCGTGACCTAGATTAATTATTATTCATAAAAAAATCTTTGTCACTGTAAAATCCGTGAATTTGTTACGAGAACCGTCTGACAGCAGCACGATGTCAGTCGTCGTAATCTCGCTAGATGAAAACCTATTAAGCTGTAATCGTTTTTTGCAGAAATACCGAGTGTATTTGAATATTTTTATTAAGTTTTACTAGCAGAGAAATGTCCTATGTCCTTGAATTTAGGTTCAAAGAGTTCAGGGGGACATGGCTATCACTGCTCATAAACATCTCCTCTGCAGCCTGTTGAATGTGTGTCAGCTGAATGGGGCACTCTGCTAAGACACTGAACCTGAACCTTTCATGTTGTGGGTTCAAGTCAATTATAAAGTTGTGCTGTTTTGATTACTTTTATTATTATCCAGATCCGCAATGTGCAAATCTTCATTGCTCCTGGATTAGAAATAAATATGTTTATCCATGCTGTGTTAATTTTTAATTTTATTAGTTCGTTCTCAGCTATACGTCTGAACCATCTTATTTTCATGTTCATTCAATTTCTGCTGTATTTGATCCTCCTGCTCTGCATTACACTACAGCTCCGTATCGCTGCTTGGAGCTATATTATTTAGATTACTTTTGCCATCATTTAACACTCGCTTAAAATTAAACTTAAAAACAGCAGTAATTTAATAACACTGTTAAATGTTATCAGCAAATGAATATCCATTTTTATTGTATACTTATGTTTTGATGCCTAAATTTCAAATGTTTTAAAATAATTGAAATGATTTTAGTGTTTTATTTTTTATTTATTTCGACAAGATAATAATGTTAATATTTATTATTCATCATGATATTGTCCAATAGACATTGTTAATATGAATATTGATATTGTGTTAATAGAATAGAATGGTGCCAGTCAGTGTTACAAAAGTAACATGCTTTGCCTTGAGTAATGGGTGATGTTTTTTCAAGTGACACATTTAAAAGATAGTAGTCAGCATCTCCGAGTGTTGTTTCCACTGATGACTGCAGAAAATGAAGTGTGGTCCTGCAGGTGATCCACAAGTTTAAGCTGTCACCTTGGCAAATAGTTGACAGTGTTGTAAGCTGCATGTCCCTTGTTTGTCTTCTCCATTCCCCCTTTTACTGTACGTTAATTGCATTACATTCACATTTGCATAAAGACATGAGTCTGCAACTTAAAGTGTAAACTCGTTCTACAGTTCAGGGGCAAGTTAAGGGTAAGTCAGTACTGTCTCTTGCATATATGATAACGCAGTAAGCTGTGATTGGCTGATTTGCTTGTGTGAGCATTTATATTATAGCACACTTTGACAGAGGTGGAGAGTACAGAGGCCAGATCAGTAGAGGAAACATATTTCACATGGACGGATCAAGTTGACTTCAAGAAGTCATGCTGATTTGATGGATTCTTACCTCGTATGTTTGTTTTTGTAACATTTAATGTGCTTATATTGGCTAAAATGCTGCTTTGTTGATGTTTCTCATGAAGGCTTACGTAAAACTTTTCTGTTACAGCAATTTCCACATTACATTCCCGTTCATGTAGACTTTACATTATTTGTTATCGAAGCCCTACGCAGCTTCCTTTTTGAAATGTATTGTGCATGTTTAAATAATTAATTTTTGCCTGTAGGCCTAGCATGTCAGGCCCCCACCTGCTGAAAAAGGGCAAAGAACACAGGAAGATGGACGTGCACAGAGATTTCACGGTTGCCTCCCCAGCTGAGTTTGTCACTCGCTTTGGAGGAAACCGCATTATAGACAAGGTTGGAGTCATGCCTTTGTGTATGTTGTTTTACTTCATTTTCAGCTGTAAAAAAAGAGTTTAATATATCTCTCTCATCTTAGGTGCTGATTGCTAATAATGGCATTGCTGCAGTTAAATGCATGCGTTCAATTCGACGCTGGTCCTATGAAATGTTCCGTAATGAGAGAATCATTCGCTTTGTGGTGATGGTCACACCTGAAGACTTGAAAGCCAACGCAGGTTAACAGACAAGAAAAATTATTGTTCAACCTGAAATGCAACTTTATTTGTATAGGCATTTATTTAATTACATTTATTTATTTATTTTGGTTCTAGGCATTCTTTTTCAGTTTTAATCTAAATTTCACACTTTCTTTCTCCAGAATACATTAAAATGGCTGATCACTATGTGCCAGTCCCCGGTGGCCCAAATAACAACAACTATGCCAAT